TTTTTTCCCTGAAGCCAGTATTGCAAAACACGAGGCTGCCTTTTTGGAGTCGAGGTCAGTTTTGGCAACTTTTGGAAACTTTTAAGCAAGCAAGCAAGCAAACAACACCCCCCTCCCAAAAGGCAGAAGAACAGAATAAGGGCTGAGCATGCTTTTTTGCAACTGGGGCTGGGGATTGCAATGCCCATCTCCCACAGGCAGGCGTGCTCCCGCAGCCCCAGAGGGCCAAGGGGCACCCCAAGAATCCACCCCACTTCGACTTCATGGGCTCCATTCCAAAGCAACAGGTGCAGCCCCTCCAGGCAAAGCTCGACCTGTTGAACGTCTGCCTGTGCAAGCACAAGGCGCCTTCTGCTAGCTCTGCTGGGAATATGGGACCCCCCCTCCACCTCAAAGCCTCCTCCCCCTCCCAACTCGAAGAAACCCCCTCCCCCTCATTTTTTGGGGGGCGACTCTACCTGCTGAAAGAGCCCGCGCCGTACAGCGGAGCCAGGGCTCAACCCGGAAGCGCCCTCCCCAGAGCGCCGCCATGTTGTACGGCAGTTTCGCCAAGCCTCGGGGGCCCCCGAAGGGCGAGCAACTGCTTTTTTTAGAAAGGCGGCTTTAAAAAGTGCCTGGCGACTCCTCCCCGGCGCCTGAGAGGTGACTGCCTTTTCCTCCCGCGGAGAAAGAGAAGACGAGAAGGGGAGAGAAAGAGAGCTCTCGCCCTCCACCTCGTGGCTGGAAGAGCAGAGCTTCCGGGCAAGGCAGGGCGAGATTAAAAAAAACAACAGGCACTTGGGTAGACACCCATACCAGAGATGCTTCTTTTGACCTGCGAGGGTAGGGAGGGGGAGGAGCTTCTGGTGCCCGCGGAGGCGTGGCATTTGCCCTCTGCATCTCATTAATATGGGTACAGTACTAATATTTATTATACTTATGATATGCATGTCTAAAGTAATCAAAATCTTAGCAATATGGGTGCTAGAATCTTATTTATGAATGCTGATCTGATTTGATTCCTGCATTGTATTCTTTTTCTGTGGTTTTAATTTTGGACGTTGTGGCAGCCCTTGTGGGCTATTTTTAAAGATTTTTAAACTGTTTTTTTTTTAAATACAGATTCATCTGGAAAGTCAAAATAGACACCCCTGCAAGTATGGATTTTCTCTCATTGATTGCTGTCCATGTTATGGAAAAAGAGATGTGTTGAATGCTGGCCTGTTAAAAATACAGGAGATTTGACAGATGCATAGATGGGGAGAGAGGCTAGTGGTTTTTTGTTTTTGTTTTCAAATGTTTGCTGCATTTTTTAAAAGTTTGCTTGACAAGTATCACTATCCCAAAAGAGAAAAAAGTGTAGCAAGGAAGAATAAGTTTCCTTATTAAGGAAGTTATAAGTATAACTTCCTTAATAAGTTATAAGTATAACTTCCTTAATAAGGAAGTTGTTACAGTATTGTTACAAGAGGTTGTAACACTATGCTGTTGTTTTGAAATACTGTGTTTTGCTTTTGCATGCTTGGTGCTTCATAAATACTTTAAAATCTGAAATCTGGGGCCTAGATAATAAACCGTTCGTGAAATAATGTTGAAACAACATTCAGAAAGCAAAATGGACAATATTTTGTGGTGTGATTGGAATCTATAAGTATCAAAATAAAATATTTGGCTCGTGGTGAGATTCTAGAAAGAGTGCAGAGAAGAGCAACCAGGATGATTAGGGGACTGGAGGCTAAAAGATATGAAGAACGGTTGCAGGAACTGGACATGGCTAGTCTAGTGAAGAGAAGGACCAGGGGAGACAGGAGAGCAGCCTTCCAATATTTGAGGGGCTGCCCCAGAAAGGGGCACATCACGTGCCCCAGTCATCATCCACCCCAATTTGAGACTTCACTTATGCGCAAAATAACATGACCTTGAACTAGAAAAAGAATGTTGTTATGTCTAACTACATACTCTCCCAAAAAATTCCTCCCCCCCACCCACTTTCCCAGGCTCAAAATGTGGCAACGTGGGAGCATCCGGTCTCAATATGGCTTCCAAAGCTGACAGTGGGAGCTTCCACACTTGAGTTGTGGGTTGGACCAGATGACCTACAAGGTCCCTTCCAACTTGGTTAGTTTGTCACTTTTTTTCAGTGCCATTGTAACTTCAAACAGCCACTAAATGAATTGTTGTAAATTGAGGACTACCTGTACAAGGTCTCCTACCTTAAGCTGGGGGTTTGGGCCGGAAGACCCTTCCCAGCCCTATAAGTCTAGGTAAATCTGTTTGGATTACATGTTAAATCTGTTGGATCTGTTTAAATCTTCTGAAACAACCGATATTTGCAGCCTGAGATACTTGCTTTTCTCTGCTTCGTCCTCAAGCTAGCTCAGTGAGGGTGAATTGCTGTATGATTCCTGTTTACTGAGAAACATGTAGCAGCTTTTTCACACGTCAGCATTTAAAACTCTCCAAAGGGAGCCATAATTAGGTGTGCAGATGGCAAGTGCACCAATGATCTCCCCAGGGAAGAGATAATTATGTCCTCAGAATAGATCCCTTGATCTTGGAGGGAATAAAATCCCTGATCCTCAGAAAAAAGGCAGAGTAGAGAAAGATTTGGTTGATCTGGAGCACAAGCCCACTGTGGAATTCCTAGGATCACACAGACAAAAATACGAGCTGCAAAACTTTATATGATCCCTAGATGGCAGAAAACTTAGTTTTCCATGGGCTTGTGCCCCTCTAGTATTGGTTTGGTGGATTTGTGGCTTATTTGTAGTAGTCCTAATATGGATCTCTGGAATGGCTCCATCTTAAGATAGATTAACAGAGTTGGGACTTGGAAGGGACCTTGTAGGTCATCTAGCCCAAGCAGGAGACCCTACTACACCATTTCTGACAAATAGCAGTCCAAACTCTTCTTGAAAGCCTCTATGATGGAGCTCCCACAACTTCTGAAGGCAACTTCTCTTCCATGGGTTGATTGTTCTCGCTGTCAGAAAATTCCTCCTTATTTCCAGGTTGAATCTCTCCTTGATCTGTTTCCATCCATTGTTCCTTCTCTGGCCTTTGTGTGCCTTGGAAAATAGCTTGACTCCTTCCTCCTCTCTGTGGCAGCCCCTCAAATATTGGAAGACTGCTATCATGTCTCCCCTGGTCCTTCTCTTCCCTAGACTAACCAGGCTCAGTTCCTGCAACCGTTCATCGTATGTTTTAGCCTCCAGTCTCCTGATCATCCTGGTTGCTCTTCTCTGCACTCTTTCTAGAGTCTCAACATATTTTTATAGTGTGGTGACCAAAACTGGATGCAGTACTCTTGGCGTGGTCTTACTAAAGCTTTATAGAGGGTATTACTACCTCACTTGATCTTGATTGTATCCCTCTGTTAATGCAATTTAGGGTTGTGTTGGCTTTTTTGGATTCCGCTGCACACTGCTGGCTCCTTCCTTAGTTTTGGAGAGTTCTCTAGTAATCTAGCAAGGAGATCTGGGGATCTGCAGATAAGCTGTTCCAAAGGAAGGGGTCCACCTTGGAGAAGGACCTTTTTGGGGAAATTTCTTCTGAGATCCTGTGGGATATTGTAATGACGAGGCAGTCGAGTTGTTTGATCATGAACAACTGAACCATGATGATCTTTATTGGAGTCTAGTCTTGCATTTATACACATTTTTAGTTATCCTCCATCACTGGTTAACTTTGGTTACTGCTTAACTTTAGTTATGTTTAGCACAGTAATTAATTATCTCTAGTTTACCATATGTTTACTTCCTCTCTCTAATCCTCCTTTAGATTAGTGACTTTGTTTGCCTGAGTTGTGTTTGCTTGGAAACATTCTTTATCTGAGGTTTGCCATCCGAGATGGGAACATTCCTGCAATTACAACTCTACAGTGGGAAATAGAAGGATGCTTTTGGAAGCATGCAATCTATCACAAGTGCATGACTTCAAATTCTGGTATGCCGTTTGCGGTCAGTTTAACCTTGGTTTCTTGTCTTGCTTTCAAAATCTTTCAAAATCCCTGTTCTGCTGCAGAGCCCTGTTAATAATGTTAATTATTATTTTTCCTTTCTGCAGAACTAGCCCCGCCTCCTATGACAATGGCACTGACTGTGAGACAAAGGGTGAAAACGTAAACAGCCTGTAGCATTTTCTCAAGAAATCCAACAGGTTTTGGGAATATCAGAGACTTAAATTGTGTGTTTTTCTTCATGGGTGCACTGGGTGTTCCCGAGCTACGGAGGTGTATTGTGGTGTAGAGCTGAGCATTCAACATAGTTAGACCCTCCAGGTTCATGCTGCCTTTGTGAATTAAGCAAGGCCCTAGTCCCTATGAATGTGCTTGGAAAAATAAAAAATAAAAGCATTGCGTTCACATCTCCAGGTGTGTGCACTTCAAATCCCAGAGTTCCACAACCTGCTGAGCCATGGGTGAGGGGCAATTCTAGGATTAGAAGTCCATTTAGATTGATTGATCAGAGAAAATCAATCAATCAATCAATCAATCAATCAGAGAGCCAGTTTGGTCTAGTGATTAAGGCACCAGGTTAGAAACCTGGTGATGATAACTTAGCCTGGGTGACTTCTGGCTAATCTCCAGGAGATGGTGAGTTCTAGTCCAGCCTTAGGCACCAAAATGAGATTTTGGGGCAATCAATACCGTGAGTTCTAGTTCTTCCTTAGGCATGAAAACCATCTGGGTGACTTGGGGGCAATTACCAGGAGATTGTGAGTTCTAGTCCCACCTGAAACTGGCTGGGTGATTTTGGGCCAATCACTAGGAGAGGGTGAGTCCTGCCTTAGGCACAAAAAAACTGTGACACTCCCTCTCTCTTAGCCCAAACTTAACTTACAGGGTGGTGGTTGTGGTGAAAATCGGAGGCGGTGAGCATTTCAGATACATTCACCACATTGAATTAATTAACATGCCATAAAGGCAGGATAATAAATCACTGGGTACACCTCACAGCACCTGTGCTTTGAGGCCTCCAGTCAGCCCAGAGCTGTAGTTAAAGCACACCTGACCGAGCCCTGTAACCAAGGAACCAGCTCCCTGTCCGAAGAGACCGCTGCTAGCCGAGCGAGCGGGCGTGCTGCCATTGGAGGTCACCCTAAGAAACGGGTAGCTGAGGAGGGGAGGACGGATCCGGGAGAGGAGGAGGAGGAGGAGGAGGAGGAAGGGGCAAAGCTTGGAACACTTCCTTAACCCACCCACCCACCCACACGCCTCGCCTCCCAGGGATGTGATCCATCGTAGCCACAAGACAAAACCCTGTTCCTCCTCGCTTAGTCAACCAGGAAGGATTCGCATTTTCACCAAGACACACGGTTCATCCTCCTCCTTGCTGGAAAGGTACCCATTCCTGATTTTTCCCCCGCTTCTTCTTCTGTAGCTCTCAAGCCTGAGGCAGGGAGGGAGGGAGGTTTCTCCATTGCAGTTGTGTGTCTATGTGCTTTGCAACACACACACACACACACACACAACCCGTATATCTCAGCGGAGAAGAAAAGAAAGGCAAGCTTTGTCTCTCCTTCCTGCCCTGTTTATCACCCCGTGGAGAGAGAGAGAGAGAAAGAGAAAACTTGAGGAATTAGAGAGGAAGCAAATTTCACAATAGCAGATCCGGGAAAGGAAGAGGGTTTGGGGGGAGGGGGCAGTTTAGAGACAGAAATGCCACCCAAAACTGCCTCTTGAGTCATGAACGCTGTGAGAGCTGCAATCTGGTGCACAGAAACGGGAAGCGTTTTGCCCAAGAAAGAACAGAAGGTGTCCAGTTGCTTGGATGTTGATGGAGACTTTAAAAAGAGCCGATTGGGTCAAGGTTGGGGACTTCATCCTTTGTGAGGGGGAAGAGAAAACCCTCCTCTTGTGCTTTCTCTCTTTTTCCTCTCTCTTTTTTGAAAGACAAAGCGGGAGACAAATCTCTGGTGGTGTCCTGAAGGCACCAGTGGAATGGCGTGGCCTCGGTCCTTGGCGAAGGGCTCCTTGGCATGACTTGAACTCTTGGTTGATCTTGAAATGGTTTTAATCTCTTTAGTTCCTTGTCTCCCTTTCTGGAGTTTCTGTTCTGGAAATAACGTTGCATCCTTTTCAGTGGTTTGCGTCGGATCTCTTTGTTTAAAAGATGATGGTTACATAAATTGCACATTAGCCTTCTGATTTATTCATTTATTATTATTATTTTTGGAAGGGAAGGAAGGATTTGCTTAAAAGAACAGGAAAGAAGGAAGGGTTATTTTGAAGGGAGGGAGGGAGGGATATAGGAAAGAAGAAAGGAAAGAAAGATTTGCTTAAAAGAATAGGAAAGAAGGAAGGGTTATTTGAAGGGAATGGAAGGGTACATAGGAAGAAAAGGAAGGAAGGAAGAAAAGGAAAAATGGAAGGAAGGAAGAGAGAGAGAGAGAGGGAAAGAGAGAACAAAAAGAAAGAGAGTGGGAAAGAGAGAGAGAAAGGAATTACATTTTAATTTGTGCACATTTGCAAATATCGACTTTCTGATAATCTTTAGCAAGGCAACACTCTGCAGGGGAAAAAAAAATCAAATTAATTGTGCAAAGCATTAAAAGAAAAGCCAGGAGTCTCATTGTGAACTTTGGGCAGATTGTCAGAATTTGCTGAGACAGCAACCGTCTATTTGTTTAGTCAGAGAAACAACAAAAAAAAAAAACGAAGAAAAACTTTTCCGAAGCACTGGAACCCTTACATGGAATTTGCTAGAAGGAGACCAAAGAGATACGATGATTTATCGATCGGAGGGTTTTAAAAGATTAAGGGAAGGGCTAAAAACTGCATATAAGATTAAAATTATCTGTTGAAGAAAAAAAATCTGAAATCCTATTTCATAAGTTTAGTTTCTTTCCTTTTTTTTACTTGGATATTTTGCTCTTTTCAAAAAAAGAGAGAAAAACAAATCCAATCCATGCGAACCAAGATTGCACTTGATTGTAAAGTTTGTCTAGTGACGAGCAGTTTTTCAGTTTCATTGTACACATGTGGTGCATTGACAATAAACGTTTGATTGATGGATAGGAACATCTCTTGAGTGAGATCAAGAATCTAGTCCTCCTATTCTGTTCCATGACTACGGGTAGTCCCCAGTTCACAACAAGTTCGTTTAGTGACCATTCAAAGTTACAGTGGGACTGAAAAAAGTAACTTATGGCCGTTTTTGACACCTCTGACTGTTGTTGCATCCCCATGGTCACATGATCAAAATTCAGATGCTTGGCAACTGATTCATACTTACGACGGTTGCAGTGTTCCGGGGTCATGCGATCCCCTTTTGCGAGCTTCTTGCAAGCAAAGTGAATGGGGAAGCCAGATTTACTTAACAACCATGTTCCTAGCTGAATGACTACAGTGATTCACTTAGCAACTGTGGCAAGAAAGGTTGTAAAATGGGGCAAAGCTTACTTAATATCTTAAGAAGGTATCTTAATATCTCCTCCTCCTCTTCCTCCCCTTCCTTCCTTCTTTCTCCTTCGCCTCTTCCTCCTCTTCCCTTTCCCCTTTCCTTCCCTTTCCTCCTCCTCCTTCCTTTCCCCTTCCTTCCTTCTCCTTCGCCTCTTCCTCCTCCTCTTCCTCCTTCTCTGTCCCTCCCTCCTCCTCCCTTTCCCCTTCCTCCCCTCCTCCTCCTCTTCCCCTTCCTCCCTTCTCTGTCTCTCACTCCCTTCTCCTCCTCCTCCTTTTCCCCTTCCTTCCTTCCTTCCTTCCTTCCTTCCTTCCTTCCTTCCTCCTCCTCCTCCTCCTCCTCCTCCTCCTCCTCCTCCTCCTCCTCCTCTCTTCTGAACTTTCTTTTACTACCTCGCTGATAAGAAATTCTCTGGATCATAAAGCATTTCTCTCCTTTTTTGGCCACTTCAGCACTCATCTCCGCAGTGCAAAACTGCATCCAGGGGAGAGGGGAGAAGGCGAATCCTCACTCCAGCCTCGACGCCAGAAGCAGCTGCTGGCAAGAGCTTCGTCCAAAAACAACAACAGAGTAATCTCGGTTAGGGGAAAACAGCAGGACTGGTACACAAGGGAAGGAGATTAAACTAGAGAAGAGAAAAACTTAGCAACTCAGAGTGGAGAACTCCAAAACCAGCCAGAGCTAAGTCCCAGGAGCACACAAATACAGGTAGACCTCACCTTACAACCTTTTGTTTAGTGACCAAAGTTGCGGCAAGGAGAAAAGTGACTTATGGCTGTTTTTCACACCTGTGACCGTTGTAGCCTCTCCATGCTCACAAGGTCTAGTTCTCAACCTTTTCTTCACACCTGGCTAGTCTAGGGAAGAGAAGGACCAGGGGAGACAGGATAGCAATCTACCAATATTTGGGGGGCTGCCACAGAGAGGAGGAAGGGGGTCAAGCTATTCTCCAAAGCAACTGAAGGCCAGACAAGGAATAATGGATGGAAACTGAACAAGGAGAGATTCAACTTAGAAATAAGGAGAAACTCTCTGACAGTGAGAACAACCAACCCATGGAACAGAAGTTGCCTTCGGAAGTTGTGGGAGCTTCATCCCTGGAAGCTTTCAAGAAGAGACTGGACTGCCATTTGTCAGAAATGGGGTAGGGTCTCCTGCTTAGGCGAGGGGGGTTTGGACTAGATGACCTACAAGGTCCCTTCCAACTCTGTTAATCTCTCTGTTAAGGTCAAAAATTCAGGTGCTTGGCAACCGGCTTGCATTTGTGACGGTTGCCGTGTCCCAGGGTGTGTGTGTGTATGTGATGCTTTTGTGGCTTTCTGAAAAACAGAAAGTCCACGGTTCACTTCACAACCATGTAATTCCCTGGAGTGATTCCCTTAAACAGCGGTGGCCAGGAAAGTTGCAGAACGGGGCAAACTCTTTTAATCCCTGTCTTGTTGAACCACAGAAATGTTGAGCACAATTGCAGTTGTAAGTAGAGGACTACCTGGTATAGACCCCCCCCCCTGCAAAAAAGTGGGGTGGATGTTGATAAGGCTGAACCTTAAATGGCAATTCCACCAAATGCCTAGGAAAATCTAGCAAGGCCAGTTTGGTTTCTGGGTATAAAAGTCAGCTCTTGATAGCGGTCTATTTGATAAGTAAAGGAGTGGTATGTACTAAGAAAAAACCTTATGCGTTCAATATTTTAATCTTTAAATGACCCGACTCAGCACTCTAGCTCTTGCAAGTTTCTCAAAGTAGGGTGTAACTCTAGATTATTATTTTTTAAACCCTGGTTTTTATTTAGTGCAGAGGTCTCCAAACTTGGCAACTTGTAAGGCTTGTGGATTTCAGCTCCCAGAATTCCTCAGCCACCTATGTTGGAAGTCCTCAAGTTTTAAAACGGCCAAGTTTGGGGACCCCTGCCTTGCTTCGACGTATTAACTGGAGGAGATCCTAATGCTCTGTGGTGTGTGGTATTCTCTGAACTTGGTTGTTTTCTTGCAGATGTTTCATTAGCAATGTAGGTAACATCATCAGTGCTAGAGGGGAGTCATGTTTGCAGAGTGAAAGAGGAGGGGAGAAGGAGGAGGATTATAGGAGCCTTGGTGCTCATTGAATTTGGCTGTTTTCTTGCAGACGTTTCATTACCCAACTAGGTAACATCATCAGTGCTGTAAGGGAGTGGGATTTGAGGATGAGGAAGAGGAGGAGGAGGGGGTGGAGGACGACACAATGACTCTGGGGTCCTCAGTCGATCAATCAATTAATTTTTATTACAGTCACTGACCAGCATTGAGGTCCTTGGTGCTCTCTGGCTTGGCTGTTTTCTTGCAGACATTTCATTACCTAACTAGGTAACTTCATCAGTGTTAGAAGAAGTCATGTTTGCAGAGTGAAGGAGAAGTGGAGAAGGAGGGCTGTGGGGGGTCCTTGGTGCTCTCTGAGCTTGGCTGTTTTCTTGCAGACATTTTATTACCTAATTAGGTAACATCATCAGTGCTAGAAAGAGTGAAACTTGCTTTCTGCTTATACCCCAATACAACACCCCAAATCAAGGAATCACCCATTCAAGTAAATAACCGCTTAATCAAGAAACCACCAAGAACATCCCACCAACCCTGACAGGGCAATATAAATAGAGCGGCAAACCCTGCTCCCTTCTAGTACTGATGATGTTACCTAGTTTGGTAATGAAATGTCTGCAACCGAGGGCCGTCGTTGCAGCCTTATCTGGTGGAGAAATGGAATTAACTTCCAGAAATTGAGACCCACTCGGATGACGTGGTCCTTGCGGCTTCCGCCAACGTAGTATGAGGAAACTCAAGCTCCATGGAAGGACCTGAATAAAGAGATGGGTGAACAAATGCCCGCTGTGTTGCAAGGCCAGGTCTCCATAGCAACTTTTAATTATATTCTGGATTAAAAATGTGCTCTGCATAATAGCATGAATTTTAATGAGATGGGGTAGAAATATGCTGGCTAGATTCTTTTTCCACCCTGCATCTAGCCAGGCACAATCTTACGCCAAGCAACCAAGAGGAGCAGAAATACACTTAAAATGTCCACCATGGTGGATTTCCTGATCTACGCAAACTTGCGTTTAAAATGTGATGAGTTTGGATTTCAAGCATTTGGGGGTAGAAATTTGGGCAAACGACCGGCCCACAAGGATTTGCAAAAGCGCAGCTATCTCAAGGACTAAAAGTGTGTTCTGTTCTTATGTTAGCTTTTTCCTTTTTTTTCTCCTCCTTTGGGGTTTAGTTCACATGCTTGCAAAAAGTTGTTAGGAAGGAAGGAAGGAAGGAAGGAAGGAAGGAAGGAAGGAAGGAAGGAAGGAAAGAAGGAAGGAAGGAAAAAAGAAAGAAAGAAAAAGAAAGAAAGAAAGAAAGAAAGAAAGAAAGGGAGGTAAGTAGGTAGATTTTTTAAATTGGTCATCCATAAACACATAGAGATGAACCACATTTACACACCATTCAAAAGAGGCAATAAAAAAGAATGAGCAGGAAAAGTATGAGCACAAAACCAGAACACACCCTCTTCAGTACCCAACACACAGATAAGCAGGGATTAACAGTAGACAAACCATCGAGCAGAAATTAATATCCCAATAAAGGAAATATCAAGGAGAAACTCCCCCACCACCAAACACTGGACATTGGCAGTGCAAGCCACTCTATATAAACAGGGAACAAAGCCCACACTCCTTCGCACTCATGATGCTACCTTGTCAGGTAGTGAAATGTCTGCAAACAAACAACCAATACTTCCTAATACTTTGCTTCCAGGTGCTCCCACTTTCTGAGACTTGGGAGAAAAATGGGAGTTGATGAACAGAAAACACATATTAATTTACAATCTTCTCATAGTTATAATTTTAAAGCCTTAGTATTAAAACCTTTAATACTGCATCCAGTTTTGGTCACCACGTTACAAAAAAAAAAAGATGTGGAGACTTTGGAAAAAGTGCCAAGAAGAGCAATTAAGACGATTAAAAGCCCTGGAGGCTAAAAAAAAAAAGGAAGAACGGGTTGCAGGATTTGGGTTGGGCTAGTCTAGAGAAAAGAAGGACTGGGGAAAACATGATAGCAGCATTCCAGTATTTGAGGGGCTGCCACAAAGAAAAGGGGGTCAAATTATTCTCCAAAGCATTAAAAGGCAAGAGAAGAAACAATGGATGGAAACTAACCAAGGAGAGAAGCAAGCTGGAACTAAGGAGAAAGTTCCTAAAAGTGTGGACAATGAACCAGCTTGCCTTCAGATGTTGTGGGCGCTTCTGAGCAGGGGGCTGGACTAGATGACCTCCAAGGTCCCTTCCAACTCTTGTTATTCCTTCCCTCCTTCCATTCTCTATTCTGATTGTGATTCTAATTAGCCTCAGTCAGGTAGAACTATCCAGCTTTTGTATGGCGGCCTTTGTGATGTTAGATCACGGCTGTTGTTCAGTTTGGGGAATGCTCTTTTCCAAGGCCGCCTGGAAATGCGAGTCCTGTACATTGTGTGCACACAGAACATTGTGTGCTGTCAAACTGTAGGCGGGAAAACCTCTCAAGTGACCCTTTGAGAGTTTAAGGTCCCTCTTCCTCCATCCCTACTTAGCAGATGTTCTTCGTTAAAAGCCGTACAAGCGAAGGATTTCCGTCTCTCCGCCACCTTAAGGGATTCTCTGCTTTTATCTCTCTCTCTCTCTCTTTTGCTCTCGTTGCAGATGTTGGAAAATTGGATTTTGACCATCCTCGTTTCCTTAGGCGTTGGCTCGGTTCTGTTTTTGGTGGCCACGATTATGCTGGTCAAGCATAACGTCCATGCCAAAATCTTCTGGAACGAGCTGGTTTTAGAGAAGATCACCAACTTCGTCATGGATCAAAGCAAGGAACAGAGGATTTTAAATTCGGTGTCGTACAATGCCGTCAAGGGGGATCCGGAGAGCGTGCTGAATTGCATCGATAAGTATTGTGGCCAGTACGAGTGGGCCATGAACGTCGGAGACGAGAAAGGTAAACTCATATTTTGCCTTCTTTTTCAGAGGTTTGTTTTTAAAAAAAAAAAAAAAAAAGACATCAGAGCAGAATGGAATATTCCTGGCTAAGAACATGAGACTCTGTTTTAGATTAGCCTTTTATTTAACAAGCTGCCTTCTCTTTTGAACTAGTTAAAAATAGAAATAGAAATAGGTAGTTCTGTAGTCAAGAAAGCTGTTCAAATCAGTGGTGTGTGTGTGTGTGTGTGTGTGTGTGTGTGTGTGTACACAAACACACACAAACACACACAAACACATGGGTATTGTTCAGGGCAGGGATGGGATTCAAATTTTTTAATAACAGGTTCTGTTGGCATGGCTTAGTTGGTGGGCATGGCTTGGTGGTCATGTTATTGGCTGGGCGTGGCCAACTCAAAATCACTCACATCGAGGCACGCATCTCCTCGCCTGGCCTCTCATGACTGTGTGGGTGCTGCAACAGTCGTAAGTGTGAAACATGGTCACTTTTGACCATGTTTCACTTTTGTCAGTGCCACTGTAACTTTGAATGGTCACTCCACACAAGCAAAAGTACCAGCAAAGGAGGGGAAAAAAACTCTAGAGAAGTTCCTGAGACAAGAAGTCTAGTCCTGTCAAGAATGTAATCAGGGTTAAAGGAGAGGCAGTTTCTGTAAGCAACACCAGAATGTTTCCTTCCTGCCTTCCTTACAGGATTAGGCCAGTAACTTCTTCTAACAACCGGTTCTCCGAACTGCTTAGAATGCTAACAACCGGTTCTAGTGAATAGGTGCGGACTGGTAGAATCCCATCCCTGGTTCAGGGGTCTGCAACCTTAAACCCTCCAAGAGCCATTTGGTCCTGTTTTCCCACAGAAAACACCGGAAGCCACAAAACCTGGGTGGGCGTGGCCAACTCAACATCACTCCCACCCAGTCACATGACACACATACACCCGCCACACCTACCCAGGTTTTGTGGTTCCCAGTGTTTTCTGTGGGAAATGGGTGTCTCCCTCCTTCCCTCTCATTTCTGTTTCTTTGTATTTACCTTCTCAGGCCAAGCAAGGAGTGACTGGGAGGGGAGGGGAGGGGAAGGGGAAGGGGAAGGGCCAGCCAGTTTGGATTAAACCTTGAAGCTGTGTGGCCTTTGTACTTCAGTTGTTGTTTTTTCCCCAGTTCATTTGGCACTTTAGTTGTTGGCAGCAGTTCAAAGGAGAGAAAGGTGGGTGTTTATCTCGAGGCACTGTTTGGGCTGGGAATGAACGTAATTCCCAGCGTTGAAATAAAATAAGAACTATTTTGACTCAGGAAGCCTTGGTCAGGACACATAAGTCACTTTTTTCAGTGCCGTTATAAGTTCGAACCATCCCTAAGCGGACGGTTGCAAGTCAAGGACTACTCTATACTTATGAATCTTTCTGAAAGTTTTCATTTCATTTCATTCCACCTGCCTTTTTCTTGATTCCATATTCACCATTCTCTTATTCGCAGGGCCTGTGAATATTTTGGACGCAAACATAAGCAGGATATTAATAGCAGGAATAACACTTGGGTGTTTGTCTTTCCTGCTAAAGAGGAATTAAATCGGCAAAGAAGCAGCTCTGGTGGTGGTAGAGGAGGAAATCTCTATTTCATTTTCAAAATTGAGAATTATCTGGATGTTGGCTTCTTTGGATTTTAGCATTTATGATCTAGCACCAAGAACAATTGTGGATTAAAAATGCTGGCTGGGGAATTTTGAGAGTTGAAGCCCACACATCTTAAAATAGCTAAGACTGGGAAACTATTTGGATGCTATAAGAGTACTACAAGACTCCTGATTTTTTGACACCCCGGGGCAAGAATTTGTGAAACTTAGCATCTTTAACAAATGTGGAGTTCAACTTCCAAAATTCCCCTCCAGCATGCTGGGAGTTGAAGTCCACAAATGCTGGCTGAGGAATTCTGGGAGTGGAAGTCCACACATCTCAGTATTGCCAAGTTTTGAGAACACAACTCTTCCTAACAAGGTCTTCAGTGAGCAAAAGAAACGTCGCGTGTTGAGAGATTCTGAAATCCACCTGAAATCTTCAAAGTCCATTTGCTCGTTTAGCGTAATGGCGAATTGTTCTTCCTTTGTACGGATTTTAAATCTCACTTTCCCTATGAGTCTCCCTACCGTTTAGGATATGAAGAGGATCCCAAGGAATCAACGAACACCTAGTGACTTCATTTAACTAAAAGAAAAAAAAATATTCACAATTTTTTTTGTCCTCCCTAGGAATAATTCTAGACAAAACGGTTGAGGAAGCTGAGCCAACTGTCGCTCTGGAGATGGGAACCTACTGTGGTTATTCAGCCATCAGGATTGCTCGCCTTTTGAAGCCCAATGCTCACCTCCTCACCATCGAAATGAATTCCGAGTTTATACCCATCGCAAAAGAGATCATTGAAATTGCGGGACTCAGCGAGAAGGTCTGGATGATACCCGTGTCATGTTCTTCCCAGCAAGATGGAAGAGAAGGGTTTCGTTGGTTGATGTGCCCAATTTATCCCAAGGGTGCTTTTTTTTTTTTCAAGAGGCTACTGGACTTTCTTGGAAGACGTTTCTCTTCTCATCCAAGAAGCTCTGACTGGATGGTGGGGAATGGAAGGATTGATACTCCTTGCAGGCAGCTGGTCCTTTTTTTAGACTAGTCTAGAATTCTTTTATTGGCCAAGGGTGATTGGACACGCAAGGAATTTGTCTTGATGCAAATGCTCTCGGTGTACGTAAAAGAAAAGATACATTCGTCAAGAATCATCAGGTGCAACACTTAATGATAATCATAGGGTACAATCAGCAATCAAATCATACTAGGAAACAGTCAATAAAAATCGTTAGGATACAAGCGACGAAGTTAGTCATACAGTTATAAGTGGGAGGAGATGGCTGAAAGGAAGGATGGGAGGATTAATAGTACTAATAGTAGTGCAGACTTTGTAAATAGCGGGACAGTGTTGAGGGAATTATTTGTTTACAGACTGATGGCGTTTAGGAAAAAAACTGTCCTTGTGTTTAGTTGTTCTGGTATGCAATGCTCTATAGCATTGTTTTGAGGGTAGGAGTTGAAACAGTTTATGTCCAGGATGTGAGGGGACTGTCTTTGCCTCCTTTTAGAGAGTGGTTGAGGCCACTTGGAGGTTTGTCTGTGTCCTCAGGGTCATCCGAGTAGTGCAAATGGGTATGGATCCTTCTTGGAACTGCTGAAAGGACTGTGTTGTAGCCTGGAGTTAGACAATGTTGTATCCTCCCCCCACCTCCCTGGAGAGAGGGCTGTTCAATTTTGACATAAAGACCTCTTGGACGCCTCTTTCAAACCAGCAGTCTTCTCTGTCCAAAATGTGGACTTTGCTGTCTTCCAAAGAGCTGCCTTTGTCTTTTAAATGCAGATGGACTCCTGAATCTTGTCCTGATGGGTTTGTTGTCCTATGTTGCACCATGTGTTTATCTGATGACACAGGTAAACCTCCAGGTGGCCTCAACGACCTTCTAAAAGGAGGCAAATGACCAGCTGTCTGCAAGGAATATAAATTCTTCCATTCCCCACCATCTGGTCAGAGCTGAAGAAGCTTCTTGGATGAGAAGCAAAACGTCTTCAAAGAAAAACCAGACAGTCCAATTGCCTCTTGAGAAAGCACCTTCGGGACAGCCACGACCTGGATGACACTGTATCTCCGTAGACATGCCCAATTAATTTTCTTCCTCCTTGCTTTTCCGTTTATTTAGTACTGATTCCAATCCAGGGACTGCACAAAAATGATGGTTGCTCTGAGACATCTGCAGGAGCCCGATATTTATAAATCACATGCAATCATTTAGAACACTCCAGAATAATAAAAAAAAAATCACCAAGTTCTGATTATGTTGTCTTGTTCAGTTCTGCTGCCAGACTACACCGCTGAAGCCTTTTGGAAACCAATTTGTATTTGTAAAAGAGAATATTTGTAGCCGAGGGTTGAAATGAAAGGGTCTTTGGTGTTCTCTGAGCTTGGTGGTTTTCTTGCAGATGTTTCATGACCCAACTTGGTAATATCATCAGTGCTAGAAGGGAGTGGAGAGGAGGAAGAGAAGAGCAGTAGGGCCATTGGTGCTTGGTGGTTTTCCTGCAGACATTTCACGACCCAACTTGGTAATATCATCAGTGCTAGAAAGGAGAGACCAAACCCAGTTCCCCCTAGCATTGATGATGCTACCTAGTTGGGTTGTGAAATGTCTGCAAAAAAACTCCCAAGCTCAGAGAACATCAATGGTCCTACTGTCCCCCTTCCTCTCCATTCCCTTCTAGCACTGATGATGTTAAGCTCAAGGACTCCTCATTTTGTATTTGCCTTTTTCTCTCTAGGATGCTAGTCCTCATCATTAGCGACTTTAACTTCCCAGAATGCTATCTGGGCATTGGGAATAATTGTGGGAATAGCACCCAGATTCACTTCCCCACCGTATCAAGAAGCAAAAGAACGAGGAGGAAAACTGAGACAGATCCCAGTCAAAGGATCATTTGGGGAAGTAGGGGGGTTGCTTTGTGGGGTCAGCCTTTGCTCCAATCAGTTCATTGCTCGTGCTTGTAGGTGACCATCATTGAAGGCCATTCGCAGGATGTTATCCCTCAGCTGAAGGAGAAGTATGGGGTGAAAACCCTGGATTTTGTCTTTCTCGACCACTGGAAAGAGAGATACGCCCCAGACACTATTCTCCTTGAAGTAAGTTAATTTTATGTTTGGAAATCTTGAGGTGCTTTTCTGACCAGTTCTGGAAAAGCCAGTAGTGAGAATTTTGAGAACCGGCCAATCCCGCCTCTGACTGGCCACGCCAACCCCATCTCTTCTCTGCCTCCCATTGAGTCCCAGCTGATCGGCTGGGTCTTCTTTGGTTGCCCCGCACAGGAGAACGGAGCTGGAAAGCAGGTTAGTGGGGTGGGGAGGGAATGGGGATTTTGCAGTAATCTTCCCCTGCCACACCCACCACAGAACTGGTAGTAAAAAGTTTTGAATCCCACCACTGATTTGGACATCTTTTTCTCTCCCCACCCCTCATGTACACATTTTGCATTTTTGCAGCCTTATGTTCTGACCCAAACCCTTGTCCAATAAAACAAACACGAACCGAAGGGAATAGAAACCTTTTAATGATTCTTACGAGTCCCCGGTTCAAACTAATTAACTTTGATAAGCACGAGCCTCGCCAAAACTGTGCGAGGCTGCCAAGAATAACAGATAAGGTTGCCTAGGAATATTTTACAACACAAAAGTCTTCAAATACCAACTAAGATACTGCAATGTCTACGAGGGTGGGAGTTTCAAAACGTCTTTGCTTCCTGCAAAGAACGTCCGATTCACAGCTGGCTTTCTTGAAGGAGGGGCCATTACCTTGCAGCCTTACTCCCGAGTCGCCCGTGCTGTTGTACTTGCTCTTTCCTATGAGCAGCCCCCCGCGCACGCACACTTGGCACAGGCTCCTCGGGAACCTCCTCATCGCTGCTGCCAGCCCCCACAATCTCTGAAGGCAGCAGTCCACTCCCTAATGGTCCTGGTCCCTCACCTGAGTCCTCGCTCTCCTCAGCCGTCCGCACCTGCTGCCGGCTAACCACAACGCTTTGTGACATTAGGGAAGTCTAGAAATTAGAGAAGTCTAATTTTTTTTCCTCCTTCTCTCCTCTTCCCAGGAATGTGGTCTCCTGCGCAAGGGCTCCATCCTTCTAGCCGACAATATCGTCTACCCAGGAGCTCCAGAATTCATTAAATACATTCGGAGTAACAGCCGCTACGAATGTACCAGCTACCCTACCTTTTTGGAATACATGAAGGTGGAGGATGCCATGGAAAAGGCTGTGTATATGGGATAAGAGGCAGGGAGAGAGAACTTACTAGAGTTCAACACGTACATGTGAGCCTTCGCAATTTAGTCCTTTAGTTTTGATTTTGCAAATGGGAGCTTTTTGCAAGCTTCAGAGCTGGTTTGTAGACCAGGATTTAGCTATCCAGAGCCAAGACAACCCCAGAACCCCTTCTTACACACCAGAGTTTCTCAGTTTCATCAACTTTAAGATGGATGGATGAGTAAAGACCACCCATCTTAAAGCTGCAGAACACTGCTTCGACAATCCCTTTCGTTATGGTTTTTGAGCTGTCTTTTATTTCTTTTTGTTTTTCTACTTAAAATGATTTTAAAATGCTGAGTGGGGGGCTAGGGGACAAGACAAATTATCTCCTTGCCAAGAATTGGGTATTTTTTTGGTAAAATGTGGGACACAGGAAGAAAATCATCTTCACCTTTGCTGTGTTCTTCAAAGGCTGCTAGGACAATCCGTGGAAAGGCTAAAGTGATGTCTGCATAAACAGACCTCATAGCCGCAGTGATGATGTGTTTAATTAATAAGTCCAACATCGCAGCCGGGGCTAAAATCCACATCCTGTCTCTTGGCCTTGTAATAAATGTGCTTCTTTTGTATGGTGGAACTTCATTTTATCCCTTGGAAAAAGGATGAGAAAAAAGCCTATACCCAGATAAGCAGGGATTAATACCAGACAAATGATCAAGCAGAAAACAATATCCTATTCTAGAAAATACCGAGGAAAAAACTATACCCTGACCAACAATTATAGGGCAAGATACTATATATAAACAGAGAGTAAACTGCACATTTCCTAACACTGATGATATTATCTAGTCAGGTAATGCAAACAACCAAGCTCAGGGAGCATCAAGAACTCCATGCTGCAGCTCAGCCTGTGCATTCTAGGTGTTGTAGTCCTTCCTGTCTGGAGGGCCCTGGTTATTGGAAAACTGAACCTCTGCAACTATGGTTTCCTTTTTAGAGATTCAGCTATGATTGCTCAGTAATAGAATTATTATATCCACCTCAAAGAGACATATATTCTCCACAACTGACAGAATGTTCTTTTTGTAATTAATTGTTCAGGTTTATACATAAAATAGGTAATTTCCTCCTTCGCCACTGCCAGGAACTAATTGTAACACTTGTGAAAGCATTGCTTTTTAAATTAATGCATTTCCATTTTATCCTTAGCTTCTCTAAATTATTGGAAATCTTTATTCTTTGCCCTCCTCTGCTCTGTTCCAATTTCCTTGCATCCGACTTTCCCTCCTCAAAACAAATTAGAGAGGCAGAATTTAACAAATAGTTAAAAAAAAGGCTTAAGTGATAAAGAATAGACCACAACTGAAATTTAAGCCTCAAATATTTTCAGAGACAAATTTTATCGATCCCAAAATGCTTTCCTTGAAAGAAAGTTGCCAGCATGTAACATTTAAATCTCCCAACCTCAGCAAGAATGTGCATTTTTTCCCCAGTTAATTCAGACCTTAAATAATCCTGGACAATCCTAATTAAGACTAATTAGCTAAATGAGAAATACTGACAGATCCCAGCAATTAAGTTGGTCTGCCAACATGGGAAGAAAAAAAAAAGAGATTAGGATTACTCACTGATGTTTTTTTTTTTCTCCTCCACTGTTTATTTAGGAGATATTTAATTTGGTTTAATAAAGTCCAGCAGAACCTTGTAAGAGTAAAGTAGGGATTTATTCGCAGTGGCTCATAAACACAAAGAGGAAAACTGCCAAACTGGGGACTCCCATTTTTGATAGAACAGAAATGGCATATTTCATATGAAATAAAATTGAGTCACAGCAAACCTTGCAGCTTGCTTGTTACAAATACGTTGATTAGGGGGTGAGATGTTAGATTGGTTTCCCACAATAAAGTGATCTTATTTAGACATAGGGAACATACTTCTGTCATCATTCCACCCTCCAAGTGTTTGTTTTTTTAAAAAATCTTGCAAGGAATTTGCATTCCACAAAATAAATTGTGAGCATTCAAATGCATTTGCAAATAGCAATTTGATTGTACGGGCAGGACTCCTGCAGCAGGTTCTTAAAGTCCACAAGAATCAGCTCTTAATTTTAAGCCCCAGATTTTTCTCTCTTTAAACAACCTCTTGGGAGAAGGAAAACACTTTTCCATTTTTTTTTCTTTTTTTGCAAATTCACATGGTACAATAGAGCCATCTTCTTAAAACCAAGAATTCAGCATCACCATTTCTGATTACCGGTTGCCACCTTAGAGAGTTCGAAGGAAGAAAAGCAATTTTAGAGGAAATATCAGTCGAAAGGGACAGCCACACAATACTTGAATTATCCTCAGAGGTGATAAGGGATGGAAAGAAGGGAGGAAAAACAACAGAGTGGTAAAAATTAACAGGACAAAATAACAGCTTTTGCCAGAACTTTAACCCATATACGTTTGAAAACCAGTTTTAGGCCAAGTCAAGAACAAATCACATTTCCAAACCATTTCCTTCTTGGTTTTAAAAGTTGTATCATCTCAGTCCTTTTTTGCACTGAACTTCAGGCCAGTCCTGCAATAAAATATCGTCCAATACAGAGGGCGAACTGGAGATCAGAATCAGCTTGCTCATACTAAGACATCAGAGGATGTAATGATATACAGGAAAGACCTGAAGAGACTGGACCAAGAGACACCACCTAAGAAACGGTCTGATAAGAGATTACATAGCCCTCAGCTGTATAATGGAAGGAACAAGAGGCCCCAAAAGAACCTTCCCTAGATTCTTGGGTTGTATAGGAGGGATGTGGGGGCGGGGGGAGAACTGTAATTTCAGACTTGCGGGATTCTGCTAATGTAGCTTTACAATAAAGCAGATTGAAATTATCTGGCTAGGTTTCCTGTCTGATCTGCTTAGTAAGACTGATAGAGGGAGTCCCAAAAATTAGACTTAAACCAAGTGGTGAGCTGGATTCAGCTGGATATCTGCACCAACCATAGTCTAATGTCAGATGAACCGTCCAATATGCCTCCAATCCTCCAAGCTGCTGAGACCATGATGGGCTCCGAACCAAAAGATAATGAGAGCCATAAAAGGGAAAATTAAGCGAATGCTTAAATTCCACCCCTTGCTAAGGTAGCAGCATCATGGCCGTATTAGCACACTTGCAAAGAAAGCAGAAGGTATTTTTTGGATTTATATTTTAGAGAAAGTTGTAAATGATGTTGTTAAAAGTAAAGAATATAAAACAGATTTATTTGATTAAAGCTAAAATATATATGTTGCTATTTCTGGTAACTCTTAATGGGCTTGGATTTAATGATGGGAGGTTTTAATAATTTGTTTATTGACGAGATACGTAAAGAAGAGGTCCTTTGTAATTGTATCAAGGAAGGTGATGTTATTGAAATTGTTTGTATTTGTGTTGATAGTGAAGTCATTTGTATATCTTTTCTTATGTCTATCCACCCATCCATTTGTTTCTCCATCGGTCATTCTATCTGCCTACCTACCTACCAATCTACCTACCTACCATCCATCCATCCATCAATCTACCATTCATCCATCTATCTTATCTGTCCAATCATCTATCTATCTATCTATCTATCTATCTATCTATCTATCTATCTATCTATCTATCTATCTATCTATCTATTATCCATCCATCCATCCATCCATTCATCCACTTTGGGCACTTTTCTGTTTTCCTTTTTACATGTGTATTAGTTCCTATTAGTTTATCTTTGTATTTGTAAACTCTAATAAAATTTATTATTTAACAAAAAAGGAAGGATAAATAACTTCCCTCCCCGGTCCCCCAAGATCCTGGCCGAAGAAGATAAGAGTCAGAAAGTCAATGATCATTGGAGGGAAAAATCATTTTGTGAATGCCATGAACATCTGTCTAGTCAGTCAGTCAGTCAGTCTATCTATCTATCTATCTATCTATCTATCTATCTATCTATCTATCTATCTATATCTATCATGTATCTTATCTATCTCTATCTAGCTATCTATCATCTTATATCATCTATCATCTTTCTATATCATCTATATCTATCTACGATCTCTCTATCATGTATCTATAGCTATCTTTCTATTATCTATATCATCTATCTATATTATCTTTCTATACATCATCTATATCTAGAATCTCTTATCATCTATCATCTATATCATCTATCATCTATATCTTTCTATATCATCTCTCACTATCATCTATCATCATAGATAGATCTATCATCTATCATCTATCTATATCATCTATCTATATCAATCATCTGTCTATCTATCTATCTATCTATCTATCTATCTATCTATCTATCTATCT